CCATGTCTCTCTTGATGAGCGGCCACATTGAATGCATCGTTCATCATGGCGGTTCCAATTCGTTCCATGAGGCAATCAGGTGAGTCTGCGAGCCAACACTTCCGTCCTTGCAGCTGCGACTAACGATGACTTCGCAGAGCTGGCGTTCCGCAGGTCATCCTTCCCACTTGGTTCGACACTTACGACTTCGCTGCCCGCGTTGAGTGGCTGAAAATTGGTGTGTGGGCCAACCGAAAGACCGCTCCAGCCATCAATGGAAAGCACTTGGGACGCGCTCTGATTCGAGTCTTGGCCAGCAATGACAGTCCCAGAATCTTTGCCAACGCAAATGCACTTGCCGCCCAGTTGGGCCCTCAGGAAGGACGTGTCGTCGCGTGCGAGAAAATAATTGAGGTTATCAAGGCTCAGAAGAAAGGCGAAGACAAGAAGGATCAACAGAAAGACCAGGCAGAAGAGGTGAATGTCCAGCAGGTCCCAGCCGGAAACGAGGAGAGAACCGCAGAGGAGCTTACTTCCCAGGAGAGCGCGTTGGGAACTCTGAACGCCTTGTACTAGAGGAAGCTGTCCAGCTGTGCATCCTTCCCTGACTTCTAACCGACCCCTACGACGTTGCGGCGAAGTAGAGGTCGGTTAGAAGTCAGTGTGATCAGTCTGGGGAGGTGTCTGTTGCTGAGTTGAGATTAAAGTCTGGAGGTGGTTGAGACTCAGAACAGGTGGGAACGTGCGGACCGCGCGGGCAGGACGGATGCCGTTAACGGCTTAGGGAGAAATCGGAGGACAGCGTTTGTTTGAGTCAAAGAGGACGCACAGAGAAATGTGCCTTATGCTCCTAGGTAGTTAAATGGAATGATTCTCCCCTCACTTTTCCTTCACGGAGACCGTCAATTGAAGTCATCTTCTCGCCGGTACCGGCTTATCTACACTGTGTTCTCCCCGCACCGTCTACTTTTGCCCCGCAGTTGTTTCCATACAACAAGAGAAGGCATCTAGAACTACCGTCTTCAAAGAGTTTCCTTTTTTTTACTTCAGTCCTGCTGTATATCATATCCTCCTAGTCTACCTGCGAAGATGGCTGGTGAAAACGTAGCCTTTCTTGGCCTCGGGAACATTGGACGGGTATACCTTCAAATCATCCCCCACCCGATAAACAAGCTAACACAAGCCAGGGGATGAGCAAGAACATCGCTCAAAAAGGGCCCCAGTCCTCTCTGACCCTCTACAACCGCACCGTCGCCAAAGCCTCCGCATTCGCCGAATCCCTCGGCTCAACCAAAGCCCCCGTCACCGTCGCCTCCACCATCCCCGAAGCCGTCAAGGACGCCTCCATCATCTTCATCTGCGTCGGTGACGATCCCGCTCTCGACCAGATAATCAGCACCATCCTCGCCGACTCCTCCCTCGACCTCACATCTAAGGTCGTCGTCGACTGCTCCACCGTCCACCCGGACACCTCCCGCCGAATCCACGCCGCCCTCACCCCCCGCGGCGCCTCCTTCATCGCCTGCCCCGTCTTCGGCGCGCCAGCCTTCGCAGACGCAGGCCAGCTGGTCGTCGTACCCGCCGGGGATGCAGCCGCCATCAACCGCCTCAGGCCGTTCTTCGAGGGCGTCACCGCCCGCGCCACAATCGACATGAGCGGCCACGACGTCGGCCGCGCCAGTACCCTCAAGGTCCTGGGCAACACGCTCATCCTCAACACGGTCGAGTCAATTGCAGAGGGGCTCGTGGCGGCGGAGAAGTCCGGGCTCGGGGCCGATGTCTACCAGCAGTGGATGCATGCGCTGGTTGGGGGCATGTTCGCGAAATACGCGGACCGCATGTGTACGGGCGACTACTACAAGCGTGAGGAGCCGCTCTTCGCGGTGGACTTGGCGCGGAAGGACCTGCGGCATGCGGCCAGCTTGGCTGAGGCGGCTGGTATGCGGCTGCGTAGTGTTGAGGTCACGGATGGGTATCTGCAGGAGGTCAAGGCCGAGAAGGGGGAGAAAGGGGATATCGCGGCTGTCTATGGAGCTATTCGGAAGGAGTCGGGGTTACCGTTTGAGAACGAGCAATGAGCTTTAGGAATATATGAGCTACAGATCAGGATTACTGAAATAACAATCGAGTTGATGATGGAAGTCTTCGTTCTGTTTAGATTATGTCAATGAATATAACTCAATTTAATGGATAGATGCAAGGCGCCTGAAAGGAGAGAAGGTTTGCAGCCAGCGATAAGCAGTCTGTTGCAATCTCGGCAATGCATAATGAACTTCTTGCACTTATCCTGCCTCTAAAATGCCTTACCTGCTTAGTTACGAAGGGAGTAGATGCGGGCCTCATATGGCCTGAGTCGGACCTTCTGCTGCAGCTGATATTCATCCACATGGTAGTTGGCGATGAGCATGATAGCCAGATCAATGTCAATCTCTTCGGGAATCTCAAAATCGGAGTGTTCCGCCGACCAGTTGCAGAAGATCAAGGTGCGCCACGGCCCTTGCGTCCGGAGGAAAGAGAAAACCTTAGGGTCACTCGCATTGATAGGAATATAAACTCCGTACCACTGGGAACCGGCGGTCAGTATGCTTGACTACCTCATCATTTGATCATTATGATTAATCATACCATCAGCGGATGTTGTTTGCGGATATGCAACAGCTTCTTGTAGTAGTTCAGGACCGAGTCAGGATCACGATCCTGAGCCTGGACGTTGATATCGGCATATTCATCGTTCATTCGGAGCCACGGTTTGGCATCTGGTGAGGTGAAGCCTGCATTGGGCGCGTTATTCCACATAATAGGAGTACGCGCATTGTCCCGTCCTTTGAGGCGGATGACATGCATCACATCGGACATGTCAGGCTCCTTGGAGGGATCTTTTTCCTTGCGAGCTTTGTACTGACTGTAAAATAAGTCAGTAAATGATAAACCAAGGGAAGATTGGCTGCGAATAGCCTACGCGTTGTAGTATGCATGGGTCTCAACGTCGTTATAATCTTCAATCTTCCAGTTCTGCGGATGGGGGGTACCCAATTCCTGGCCCTGGTAGATGAAAGGGGTTCCTCTCAGAGAGAGCTGGATTGTGGCCAACATCTTCGCTGACACGGCTCTGTACCGCGGATCAGGGTTGCCAAATCGTGACACACACCGGGCCTGGTCATGATTCTCAAGATACAGAGAATTCCAACCTGGGTCTCTCAGCTCTTGCTTCCCAAGGATGAACTGAGCGGTCACCTACCGTTGTTGCCCAGCATATGCTGCTGCCAAATCCTGAATACCTTCTCGAATTCCCAGAGCTCCCACTTGCGAGGCTTCCATTTGTCTCCATTTTCACCATCCAGATCCATATGGTGAAACTGGAAAACCATGGAGAGCTCCTGGCGCTCCTTGGCCACATACTCACTGGACTCGTATTCGTCCACACCACACGGCATTTCACCTACTGTGCAATTGGTGTATTTGCTCAGCACGTTGCGATTCATCTCATGCATGTATTTGTGGATATTGGGACTGGATCTTGTCAGAACTCGGTGCTTCGAGTTACTTCCCTAGGAGGCTTACCCGTTCGTGAATAATGGCACGGCAGGTTGCTCGTACTTATCAGGGTTCACAATGGGGGCATCTGGGAGACCGGGTGTCTTGGAGACAAGGTTTATAACATCAAACTAGGACAGATAGGTCTCGTTAGAAGCATCTCTGTTTGGCGGTTATGGCTGGCTTACCCGAAAGCCGTCCGTTCCTTTACTTCCCCAGAAATCAATCACATCGAAGATTGCATTCCGTACCTCAGGGTTGTCCCAATTAAGGTCTGGCTGAGATGGCGAGAACAGATGCATGTCTGTTATTGGTGAGCCTTCTATCGTTGGGGTAAACCCTATATCTGGAAGACTTACACCATTCGTCTGTATGCTCATCATACTTCCATGCCGGACCTATGTGTTGCATTAGTATGATAGTGCGTTGCTTGGCTGGCTGAATAGAGAGATTTGCTAACCTCCAAACAGACTTTCCCAATTGTTAGGAGGTAAGTGCTCTCCGTTCTTGCCTATCTTTCCCCTTCGCCAGAAGTACCAGTCTCTCTTCGGGTTGTCTCGATTTTTCTTCGACTCCAAGAACCATGCATGCTGGCCAACTATTAGCAAAAGTAATGATGTTTCGGCAGTAGATCCGCTCACCTGAGAACTGGTGTGGTTGAACACCATGTCCATCATTATCTTCATTCCTCTCCGATGAATCTCTGCAGCAAGGTCTTCCCAGTCTTTCATAGTCCCATACATGGGATTGATACCCTTGTAATTTGCAATGTCGTAGCCTTGATCTTCAAGGGGTGATTCATAGATTGGCGTCAGCCACACCATATCCGCCCCAAGATCTTTCAGATAGTCGAGCCGCTGGATGATGCCGCGAAGATCACCAATGCCATCATTGTTGCTATCCTGGAACGACTGCACGTAGATCTCATATATAATGATCTCTCGCCACCATTCTCGATCCATATCGAGAATTTGCGGCTTGTACGTGCCGGACGCTGTCACGCACTTGTTCCGAGTCGTTGGACATGACATTTTTGCGGTTGTCGAAAAAGGTTTGTGTCTGATGAGAGAACTTATTGGAGGTTGGTAGTATTGATGATGTGACTTAGAAGGTCTGGCAGATGTGGGAGTCAAGCTTCGCAACCCACAGCGGAAGTCTCTCTGAAGAAGAAAGCGTCTCAGTTGAAACATCCTTGGCCGGAGCGAATTGACATGGAAGAATAAGCAGTCATTTATACAGCTGGGGCAATATTTTGCCTCCCAAGATGATCTATTTGACGGTGCCACCATCATTGATGATATATTTTCGAAGCGTAGGAAGGACATCCCATGGAATAGATATCCGTCGGACAAAATGACCATCCTATGACCTCAACAAGACCGTTAGAAATTGACTGGAAAACAAAGCCGCAGAACAGATACCACTTCTCCCCAGATATGAGATGATTTTGAATTTTGTAACGTTCGTGCGTCGCTCCATCTTATAGCATGGAAGCGCAAGCGCGAGAGAAGACGGTCCCCTTTATGTCTAGCTCAGATTTTCATCCGATCAACACAGACAGGGCGCAGAGCCCTGATGCATCACAAGAATGTCAAGAGTCAGACAGTCTCGACAAGCTGTGTTGGTGGCAGAAAGCAACCATTTATCAGGTATTAATTCAGAGCTTTCAAGACACCGATGGAGATGGCAAAGGGGACCTTCGCGGGGTAGTTAATCACCTCGACTATTTCGTCGCGCTCGGTATTGACGTGGTCTGGATTTCACCTATTTATGAATCGCCAATGCGGGACATGGGGTATGAAGACGAACTGGACATGAGGCGTTGTATCGAGAGACTGACGAGAAGTTTGCAGGTATGACATTAGTGACTATCGAAAGGTTAATCCAGTTTTTGGAACCATGCAGGACATGGAACGTCTGATAGAGGAAACACATCGAAGAGGACTCAGGTTGATCTTGGACATCGCTCTCAATCACACTGCAACTGAAGTGAGCCCACGAAGGATGACAGGAAAGTAATGGCGTACTGACTAGTATTCATCCCAGCACGAATGGTTCCAAACCTCCCGACGCGCTCGAAAAGATCCCGGCCTAGGTAAGCGAGACTGGTATTTTTGGAGCGAAGGGAAGCTAGATGAGTTTGGTAATCGTATGCCTCCAAATAACTGGGAGAGTACATTTACTGGTATGTCCCGGAGCTTTCATGTTCTTCCCTCGTCTTTAAAGCTCACTCTGTCTGGGGCAGGGTCGGTTTGGGAGTGGGACCAGCTGGCAGGCGAGTTCTGTGCGTACTCGCCATTCTAATGGCTGAATATGGGGCTGACGGAAGATCAAGACCTGCACATATTTGGCAAGAATCAGCCCGACCTAAATTGGGACTGCGAGGAAGTACGAAAAGAACTGTACAGTGTGTTGAGGTTTTGGTTAGACAAGGGAGTGGATGGATTCCGGGTGAGCAATTGTGTTTGCCTTGCTGTAGTCCTCGTGACTGACCACTCGTCACACTGGCGAAGCTCGACACGATGAATTTGGTGTCAAAGACATCATCCTTCCCAGATGCTCCGATATCGAAGGAAGGTTCGAGATGGCAGCCGGCAAATTACTTGTTTGCAAACGGGTATGATCACCCTCATCACATTTTCGATTAAAGCCTGTCGAGGCTGCAAGACTGACATTCTTCCAAAGTCCTCATATTCATGAGTACTTGCAGGAAATGCACCGGGAAGTGTTTTCACATTATGACTGCATGACCCTAGCAGAGATGTCCTGCGGCGTCTCCGCTCCTGAAGCTGTTCGATATACGTCACGATTCAATTCTCGTCCTGAACTAAACCTGGTCATTCAATTTCAGCATGTAGAGCTTGACTGTCATGATGGTGATAAGTGGATGCTGCGTGAATGGGAGCTCCCCGAATTGAAGCGAATCATCAACGAGTGGCAGGAAACATTGGTCGACAATGGGGGATGGAACACTGTCTGGATGGAGAATCACGATCAGCCAAGAGGCATCTCCAGGTTCACTACCAACAGTCCGCGGTTTCGGGCTCTGTGTGCCAAATTGCTTGCTCTATGGCAGTTCACGCTCCAGGGCACAAATCTCATCTTCCAGGGGCAGGAACTAGGGATGATCAACCCGGGACTCTTTTCGGAAGAAATGAACCAAGACATTGAGACAATCCAATATTGGAAATCGTATGTGTCACGTATTCTGGCCAGGGACATTGACCAATTACTCACGTAACAAAGAGCTTGTGAAGACGCAGGAACCGAAGCACCACAAAAGCTCGAGTTGGCCAAAAAGGCCATCATACAGAAAGGTCGCGATAACACCCGGATACCCATTCCGGTGAGACACAGCACTCACTTCATTTTGATCGCCATATCACTGACAGACACTCTTTTCAGTGGACTGAGGATCCCCATGGGGGATTCACAGACCCGGCAGCCAAACCGTGGCTTCCATCCTTTGATCACGGCGGAGAATGGTGCCACGCCAGCCAGAGACACAGTCCTGAGTCGGTCTGGTCATTCTATCGCTCCCTGATTACTATGCGAAAGGCCAACCCGACTCTGGCAAGCACACCTTTTGAGCGCTGGCCATATTTTCTGATACTGACTTAATTCCAGTACTACGGGTCATACGAATGCTTGGACGTGGAAAACCCCATCATCTGGGCATACAAGCGAAAATCCAAACACAAATGCTATCTTGTCGTGCTCAACTTCTCCGGCTGCGCCTCCTCGTGGAACTATGTAAATCACGGCGTGGACTTGTCGACATCCAGGCTACTCATGTCGAACCACATGACGTGCGAAGCAAGCTCCACTCCAGACCTCATCTTTCTGAGACCGTTCGAAGGACGTCTGTACCAATTGTAGCGGCATAGATTAGATAAGGGATTCAATTATGCGTGACTTGCATCTAGCATGATCACCAAACAGTGGAAAACTACTCGGTCCGCTGGCCTCCATTCCCAGACCATTACCATCTGGTCGGTGTTTTCGGACATTGTAGATGCATTTTAGGGCAAATGCAATACAAGTTCGATTTTAGCTTTGTTAAGCTGATGTAACTAAAAATGGTTTCCCTTCTCATAAAATGGCCTGCTGGCCCAATGGTAAGGCGCTTGACTACGGATCAAGAGATTGCAGGTTCGAATCCTGCGTAGGTCAATTTTTTTTGTCTAATTCCCTTCCACTGCGTTCACGTCTTTTCTCTGCTCCTTTTCTCGCCTTGATTTTCACCTCTGTAATTTTTTTCTGGTGTAGTTAAGAAAAGTTCAAGTCGCTGGATATAAGTATTCAGGATAGGCTAAGCTTCAACCCTTGGTTTAGTGAAACGCAGATCAAATCTTCATCGTCTGGCAGTGTCCGGAACTGCGATATAAAGTTGTTCCAATCCATCGTTAAACTACCTGCTTGACTGCTTTGTATTACATGTCACGAACCTTTCTATCTAGGTATATGGCGCTCGGAGAATGGGCATTTGTGCATACCTTTGCATCCAACCGAAGCGAATATACGGAGTAGGCATATTGATGCGCCGCCACGCTCGTGTCGCTGGTCCACATTGAATACAAGTCTTAAGCCACCTTGATGTATTTTACTCCAAATCACTTTCCCCATAGGCCCGAGTCCTTCTGCTGCTCCCCCCGTACGGTTTCTGATTCGACCCTTGCCTATGAGTGATACATTCCATCCCTTACATTGAGAATGGGAGACACCAAGCACAGGAGGCGAGTCAATAAACCTCCGCACTTACGGGTTTCGTGTAGTGTGCATAAGACAGACGCTGTCGAGCAGATACAGGACCTGCGAGACAGCCTTTGACATTAGAAGATTCCAATGATGTGTGTCGATTGCGCAGGACCGTGAAGTCCCTTGATCAGCAGAAAGGTCATCGTAGGGAGCAACATGAGATAAGAAAAGTGATACATGATCCGGCTCTCGGAATGTAGCCCTGATCTAGGGGTAACAAACACCATGGCTCGTCGCGTCAGGTATTAACAGCTCCTACAAGTCATAAACCGACTGCAGACCGTAAAACATTTCACTGACCCGTTGCGCACATCCGCTCAGTCTTGGACAGTACTGCAATATCGAAAACAGTAAGTCGAACCGCAACTTCATACCTGCGTCTCAAGGGACCTAATCCAGACTAACAGAAGCACAGGCAAGATGGTCAAGTCATCCACCGTAGTCATTACCCTGCTGGTGGCCATGGCGGCGGCAGCGCCTATTCCCGTGGGTCTACCCTGTTATATCAGAAGCAGCAGCTCGGTCCTCACTGTTCAAAACTGCAGATCGGGGCGAAAAACACTCCCTCCCACTTGAACGATAACAAGCCCCGGCTAGAGTCCCCCACGTTGGGCAACCTCCTGCTGAATCCGGAAATTTTCAAATCTTTCAAGTTTTCTGGTCTGGTTGAGCCTGTCGGAGACGCACTCGCTAACCCTCCCCAACTCGTTCCTCTTCCATCGTGACGGGATGATTACTGCCGCAATTGAGACTGCGGGATCGATGTGAATTAGGAAAAGGTCAAGGATCAGATCATATCATGTCATTCTTTTTCGTTAACGTTCATACACTCGTAAAAATGCTTCAAAGGTACAACTGCTCAGCAGAAGCGATGGGACTCTTTGAGGTTCTCTCCGCTGTAGGTCCGAGTTAAACAGGCCTCTCGACCGCAAAACAACAAAAAAAGAACGAGGTGTCGCAGCAGAACAATGGTCATCTGATAGTAATCGTCCAAAATTCGAAAGGTAAACGAACGCTTGGGGGTATCAATATGAAAGATCGTCTTGACTTGTGAACCCATCCCGAGGAAGATCTAATAGTCCTCGTCCAAATCCAGATCGTCCACCTCAATCCGAGTTCCCAAGGCTTGTTTTCCCTCCTTAATCATCGCTTGAAGCTGCTCGTTGAGTCGTTGCAAACTAGCGTCTTCTTCACGCTCCATGCGGCGCATCCGAGCCACATAGCGCTGCGTTTCCACTGAAACAGGACTCTCGCGCGGCTTGGCTGGGGATGAAAATTGCGATCTGGTTGGAGTTGACGGCATGATCCTTTTCCCAGACCGAGGCATCGTCACGCCCGACCTACGACGAGCATGGGACGGGACGACTCCGTGCCTGCGACTCACGCGTCGAGCAGTTACAGGCGATGGACTGACCACCTGCAAGAAACCATCCTGAGTATCTTCGTGAACCATGACCCAATTCTGTTGAATTTCATCCTTCGGAAACCGGCCAGGGACAGGGAATGATCCGTCTCGCTGATGGGTGACATCGTTGGATGCCATGTAGTTCTCCTTTTCAGTTGACACTGGTGCCTCCCAGTTTTCATCAGGCTGGGCTCTCAAACCAGAATCGGCTCCCATACTGTATCCCCGGCCACCTCCGGCGTAGAAGCCTCGGAAAGCACCTGACCAGCAGAATTCCCACACTTTGCCAACGACATTGAAGACTGCCCGGCTCCAGCTGACGGGCTCAGACCCAGATTGCGAGGGACTGCTGTTCTTCTCATCATGGGCAGATTGCTTGGGGCTGGATGGCAAATTCGAATCCCGACGGTTGCGTTTGCGACTGGGCCCACAGGCCTCACTGGGGGTCAAGGACTCGATACTGACATCGAGAGGAGCCGGAAGAGGATGATCTCGATAGCGACTGGGACGGTAGTCGACCTCTGCAGGATTCTCACGGCGTACAAGCCAAGGTCCGCGGGAGAACTGTTGATGGTAATACGGCTGTTGCTGATAGTTGTATTCTTCCCCGCCGGCGAGATGATAGTCGGTGTTGACCAAAGGAGCGGGGCTGTTGAGATCGACGGGGGAGTCATAGAAAGGACGCCTCTCCCCGGATTCAAAGCGAGATCGCTTGCGGCTGGGGAGGGAGATGGAGCGATAGAGCGAGGACGAGGCTGACGGAGTTTGAGGGACTTGAAACAACTGAGAAGGAGCGGCGGCCAGATCGAGCTTGGGAGGGACGGGAGAATCGAGAAAGAAGTCTGGCATTTCTCTAGATACCTCTTCTAGAGTAGAAATTAGACTAACTCTAGAAGTACAAATGATATTGGCGATGATGATGTTGACAAGAACTTTGGTGTGTTGGGAGAGATAACTCTGATGAGGCGGGAACGAAAAGCGAAAGACAGAAAAGAAGTATGAAGATGGCTGGGAGAGGCGCATAGACCACACTTCTTTTGGTCACCTTATGATGCTTAAGAAGCAGCGATGATGTTAATGTGATGGATCCATCATTATTCTTTTTTCTTTGTTTCTACAACAACCAACATTTGCCATAGATCAATAAACATTTCGTCATTCACAGTGTATATGCATCAGCTTGGCGATTATTATAGATGTTCACAGCTTTTGACTAGTCCACTGCACGCCAGCAGCCTCCAATCCTTCTTCTCCATCCACCAACACACACCAGCCTTCGTGACCTCGTCCTCCATCTCCTGCAATCGCTGCTTCAAAGTGTTCTCGGGCGTATTCCAGCACTGCATCGTCAAAGGTCCCCGGCTGCAACCAGACCGCGGGGATCCCGACCGAATGAGCCTCTTGAAGCAGAGGCAGCGTTACCGCAGGAGGGGTAACAACCGACAGCGAGGTTTGAGAGGGAGAAGGCAGAGCGCTGGGCGAAGGGACCGTCTGGTAAGACTTGGAGGGGAGATTGATCTGTGGTGCTCGAGGGTTCAAGGGAGTGACGGGCAGAGAGTGTTGATGATACCAAGCAAGGACTATCAGTATTTTGATGTTAGCAATTCGATGATCGCTGCCTTAATAGATCGAAGATCCGTATGCCATGCTGTCTTTCACAGATAACTCACTCTTGTAGCCGAACTTATTCGCATCGTTGCTGGCTCCAGCAACCGCAAAGCGCGGGGAAGAGAAGAATCGTTTGACGGCGTCCATGAAGATTACGCGTTGGCGGCAAAACTAGAGACTGATGTAGAAGTGACTGAGGTTTCTGATTTCAAAAGATACCCGAGCGATGGTTTGGAGTCCAAGAGATCGAATATATACTAGTTATCGTTTATCGAAATGAAGAATATGACTCCACTTGGAGAATGTGGAGATCTTTATGCGTTTCCTTCCGTCATTCATCCTCGGTTGTTCCACCCGTCGCCACGCCATTCTTTTATCTTTCTTCGAGATTTCCGAGCCAATCTCATCATCTTCTGTTGATATTTTGCCATTTTGCAACATTATTCTTCACGGCTCCCTCGCATGCCACCCTTCGTTCCCCGTAAGCGTGTCTCTTCCGAGGATCCGCCCACGGCCAAACGTCAGAATGCCACCCCCATCGTGGAGATCGCAGACTTTGAAGAAGACTCTGACTCCGATTCATCTTTGAGTGATGCGCCTAGTAGCTTGGACGACGAACCACATGAGAAAAGGGACCTTCAGAAGCAGAAGAAACAAGCCTCCGATGGCTCCGAATCCGAGTCCGAGTCCGACGACGACGACGACGAGGTGGATTGGGAAGATGCGATGGACTCCAAATTCACCTCTGCGTCGGTCTCGGTGACGCCCGCTCCTGCTGTGCAAGATCTCGAATTGACATTGGACAAGAATGAGATACATCTGGCTGATATCGCAGATGGAAAGAAGGGACCATCGAAGATCGAGCGTCAAATCCGCATCGCCACACATTGTCTACACGTCCAATTCCTACTATACCACAACGCCGTGCGCAACGCCTGGGCAAATGATATCAAAGTCCACGAGATCCTACGTCGAAAGCTCCCTGCTGGAATTCATAAGGAGGTCAAGAGATGGCGCACCGCCTCCGGTCTCGATCCTCCCGAAAAAAAGCCGGAGGTAAAGTCCAAGAAAAAGAAAGGCAAAACTCGGAAATCAGATCGGGATTGGAGTGAAGGCTCATCGCGCGTAGAGCCTGGGAAGCCAGATATGAGTCGCGGAGATCCCATCATCTCATTGCTCAGAATCTTGGCCGCTTACTGGAGAAAGCAATTCAAGATTACCGCGCCCGGACTACGAAAGGTTGGTTATCGGCCGATGGCTCACCTGGAAGCCGAAATATCTTCTTTCCAAAAAGACGAACATGATCCTGAGAGACATGGGGAGCGAATACGGGATATAGAAGAGTTCCGTACTGCAGCAGAGCGAATGGAGGGCTCTCGAGATCTCGGGGCTCAACTGTTCACCGCGCTGGTCCGCGCTCTAGGTATAGAAGCCCGTCTGGTCGCCAATCTGCAGCCCCTTGGATTTGGCTGGACCAAAGCGGAGGCCTACACGCCGAGACCCAAAGTGGAGGAAGGGACCATCGAGCAAAATGGGGAGTCAGAGCCTATAGTTGGTCTAGAGTCCGACAGTAGTGACTCAGAGACCGCTCCCGCCCATAAGCACAAACCCAAAAAATACGACAAGGACCTTCCCTTCCCCATCTATTGGACTGAGGTAGCCTCACCCATCACGCACGAGGTTATTCCGGTTGATCCCCTGATACTGTCAAACCCTGTGGCAACAACTCCAGAGCTGCAAGCTGCGTTTGAGCCCCGTGGGGCCAAAGCCGAGAAGGCCAAGCAGGTTATATGCTACGTTGTTGCGTACTCTTCCGACAAGACTGCTAAGGATGTTACGACACGCTACCTCCGTCGTCGAACCTGGCCAGGCAAGACCAAGGGCTATCGCATACCAGTAGAGAGAATTCCCCTACCCGGCCGGAAGAGAAAATTTTTCGAGTATGACTGGTTTCGGACGATTTTGCGGGTGTATGAGCGCTGCGAGAAAAATCGCACGAAAGTTGATGAGGTCGAAGACGCTACAGACCTATGCCCTAACCAACCCGAGAAGAAACAGGTCAAGGAAGGGGACACGCTGCAGAGCCTTCGCTCGTCGACTGAATTCGTCCTGGAGCGATTTCTGCGTCGCGAAGAAGCTCTTCGACCTGGCGCCCAGCCTATCCGCACGTTTGTAAGCGGCAAGGGCGACAAGGCCAAAGAGGAGAAGGTGTACCGACGAGGAGATGTCCTCAAGTGCTTATCCGCTGAGAGCTGGCACAAGGAAGGACGCCAGATCAAGATGGGGGAAGCCCCGCTGAAACTGGTGCCGATCCGCGCCGTCACCCTCCTCCGGAAGCGTGAAGTCGACGAGATAGAACGCGAGACGGGCGAGAAGCCCAAGCAAGGCTTATATGCCAAGTACCAGACCGAGTACATAATACCACCACCAATTCGGGACGGCATCATCCCCAAAAACGAATACGGCAACATCGACTGCTTCGTGCCCAGCATGGTACCCCGCGGTGCCGTCCACATTCCATTGCCAGGCACAGTACGCATCTGCAAGAAGCTCGGCATCGACTACGCGGAAGCCGTGACAGGCTTTGAGTTCGGGTCCAAGATGGCCGTCCCCGTCATCCAGGGCGTGGTTGTAGCCTCTGAGAACGAAGATCTTGTCAAGGACGCCTGGCGCGCCGAAGACGCCGAGAAACGGAAGAAGGAGCAACTCAAGGCCGAGAAACGCATCCTACAGACATGGCGCAAGTTCCTCTTCGGGCTGCGCATTGCGGAGCGCGTGCGCGAGGAGTACGGAGCCGACGACGGAGACATGGAGCGCGAATCTCAGAATCCATTCGCAAGCCGGCAGGCACGAAGTCAAGTCCGTCCACCTCCTGTTCCGGAGGCGGCACACGAGTGGCTCGGTGAACCTGCCGACCGTGGCGGTGGCTTCCTTCTTCCCGGTGAAGACGACGGTGACGACGGCGACCTTGTAGTTGAGGATCATCATCCACGCCAAGCTCGTCCGTCCGTGCAACAATCTGAAGCTCTAAGCGAGGACGAGGATGACCAGGGGCCCGGTCACGATGCCATTAGCATCAGCTCCAACGGACCCGCTGATCTCTCGTCTCCACAGCAGATATCGGATTCTGAAGAGGACGAGCCGTCAGCATCCGCTTCCGACTACGAGCCACCCTCGACGCGCAGGCGCACTCGGAATCCGGGTCGAAGGACAAGGGGCAAATAATTATCATAATAATTCTCATGTGGTTAGGGTCAGGCCTTTATGCACATAAAGACTGCTTTGGGATACGCGGCACTGGGTGGGACTATGGGATGGATACACAGGATGACTTATGTACAATTACTCTATCATACGACTAACACGAATGAACTAATGACCTGCATATTTACAAACAACATTACATTAGGTGCCATATACATCCAAGCATATATGCACACCACCAACGTAGACCAGTCTGGACAATGTCCAAATAAATGGGATGCATCATATCCTCCGCCCACGAGCAGACGGAGAAGCAATCATATCCATCTCTTCAAGGTCACCGACGGAGTCCTCATCTGCATCCGGATCAAACTCCTCCAACGGCGCTACATGCACCGCCGGCGAGGCAATAGGACTATGCGCGACGCGCGGCCGTGACTTGAACACGCTATTGTAGTCCGCCTCCTCCTCGAACAGCTCGTCCCGCGGAGTCGACGCCCGAGTCTGCGACTGTTTCTCGGGTGTTTCGAACTGGTTGACGGGAAGTGAAACGCGCGACTTGCGCGAGCGACGGGGCTGCTGTGGGGGCCGGCTGCTTGGGGGCGGAAGTAGCGACATGGACTTGCGGGTTCGTTCGACGAGAGTGAACGTGTTGAGGCGGGGGTCGTGTTTGGGTTCGTTGTCTGGATCCGGGGTGATTTGAACGGTAGGCGAGCTTGTTCGGGTTGACAGGTTGTCTGGTGAGGTGACGGCCTCGTTTTCATTCAATCCTTTACAGTAAGAAGGTCTGGAGTATTGTGAAATCGAGGGTTTGGCTGATTCAGCGTCGGAGGGTGCTGTGATGGTTGGTTCCATGGCAGGAACACGCAGTGGAGGGGCGGCTCGTCCAGAAGAACGAGGCTTACCGTCGATGCGGGACAGAGCTTCATTCATCGACTGCAGAAGGACCTGGTCGTCTTGTCGGGAAGCAGCTCGAGCTAGGGGCTGGCGAACGGCCTTTGAGATGCTGGCCACGGTGAGAGCCTGGTGATCCTTGAAGGCTAGTGGCGCCTTGTTTGCTGTATTTTCTGAGGTTTGGACGCCAGCACCTTCTTTCTCGCGCATGGAGCTAGCAACCTGGCGCCATTTCTGTAACCGATTGCGCTGACGCACGATGCGGGACTCCAAGTCCACCAGCAGGTCGGGCGTCGCGCTGACGGTCAGAACCTCCACTGTTGTCTCCTTTGCCTTGGACCATGCTGTTTCAAACGGCAGCTCTAAGAAGGCATCACTGCTACTGCGAGCACCACCCTGAAGTAGGGTATCAGCCCACTCCTCGCTACCTATCCAATTCTCTTTCAGTTCGCGTGCTAACACATCAAGGTTGGCGACATCCTTGGGAAGAGCAGGCGGACCCTCTCTAGAACGATCGTCTAGCTGAGTCTTCTTGCTGTCCAGCAGCTGAGAGAACTTCTCATGAACGTCCAAAATCCGGGACCGACGTTCAGCCATTGTGGACAGAGAGACACGGTGGGCAAGAATCAGCGGCAACATCAGCTGATACTCATCCGGGCTGATACCCTTAGCCATAGACAACCTCAGGGCGGGGTTTGGCAGACCGTCCATCGACGAAGCCAGGACCTTGCGCAAGACGGCGGTGGAGAAGACAGCCAGGAGTTCATCGACCTTCTCCCCTTTGCAATCGTCCAACATGGACTTGCGAAAGATAGTTTCCCTGCCGAGATCGCCATTCTTCTTCAGATCTGAAAGTACTCGAGATAGAGCGGCACGAAGGTTGACCGATTGTAGCGGCTCCAACGGAGGGTAGAAAGGGCGGAGTTTCTAGCAACGGTAGCTGGTGAGAATCATACGCTTAGTGGACGATGGTTACAAATAATCACATACGTCGTGTGCAAGTTTAGGATCCCAGAGGGCGACCAGGTGATACAGAGCCCATTCGACCGCTCTAATACGCTGGCGCTGGTTCTGCGATGAGGGCGAAAGAGAGCGGACAGTAATGTCAGGCCAGTCGGGTTGAAGGTCAAGTTGCAGCAGCTTCAAATTGCGAATGAAGACGCATGTGTGTGATTGGTGAGCCCAGTTAAGAGATTTGGAGAGGAGAGGTTGTTTCGAGGACTGCATGGTGGATGCGTGCAGATGATATGGGGGGGAATAATGTCAACAAAGCTTCCACGGAGCGAAGACGCAGCACAGACTATGAAGAACTCCACTATTACGGCGTCGTCTCAGAACCGGGAGGGGCACAAGTCATCCATTGGCACATCATTTGCATATCACTATTTACTTCAACATAGTATTCGTTTCCCAGAGCTAATGCTGGTCATTCTGTACTCAAGCGATACAGGAGCTTCTGTAACCGCATAGCCTGGTGTAATCACGTGAATCGGGTCCTCAAATGTTCGTGATTGGAAGGCGAAGAACGCATCCACCATCCACACAATCAATCGTTTTTCCTAGCTTATATATATCAGCTCCTGCACATCTTAAGGTATATTGTCTCTAATGGCTATTCAATGCATCGAATCAGTCTGATAGTGTGAGGATTGCCCAATCCTTACAGAGGTTCCTTTCTATAAGGCTGGGTTGTTGTTGATCTACACGATAAGCAGTTTGCATTGTTTGCATTGGAGGCCCAATCAGGAGCATCACAATTAACACGACCGACGACAATTGACTTCAATAGATAGACGGTTGGTTTTATAGAATTGACAGGCAATTATTAAAGGAGGACTGTAACAAAATTAGGTGCTAATAATGTTCCATAACCATTAATATTGCTTATGGCTGCTGCGCCATCTGCTTGTTCCCCCTCCTACGCAGGATGGCGGTGATAAGAGACACTTCCCTTCCTTTCTCTCCCCGCAGAGATCTTCCCTTTTCTTCCCTGTCTCATTGACCTCAGCTTTTAATTCTTTATCACTGCAGTCGCTTCTATTGTCATATATCCCATTGCGCTGCGCATTATTTCACAGTCTCTCTTTCAATTAATTTCAGATCATCCCAGTCTCTGAATTAGCTATATCTCTCCACTCAAATCGTTACCAGCGTACCCCTCATCCAACAGCATCATGGGTTCTGACGCGCCTTCCGACCCTCTCTGGACTACTCAGTCTGGTATGATCTACTCGGTTACTCTAATGCTAATCTCCGTGATTTGATGGTTTTAATTGCCTGTAGTTTTGTCAACACTGCCTCATCCTCCCGAAGAGAACTCCGCCTCCCCCATACCATTTTTCCACCTCCTCGAACGTCTAAAGACCACCAAGCGTGAAGGCTGGCGTCGCTTTGGCATCAGCACCGGTGAATCGATTTCTGACCACATGTACCGCATGTCAATCATGACCATGCTTGCACCTCCTGCTCTTGCCTCCCGCCTCAACCTGCCCCACTGCATGAAAATGGCGCTTATCCATGACATGGCCGAGTCGATTGTGGGCGACATCACCCCCGTGGACAAGGTCAACAAGACCGAAAAGGCGCGCCGCGAGGCCGAAGTGATGGACTACATTGCGAAGAACCTGCTTGGCGGTGTGCCTGGAGGCATGTTGACGGGCGAGGACATTCTGAATGTCTTCAACGAATACGAAGCGAACGAAACTCTTGAGGCGCAATTTGTGCACGATGTCGACAAGATGGAGCTATTGCTGCAGATGCTCGAGTACGAGCGCACACACAAGGTTGACCTCTCGGAGTTCTGTCACGTTGCCGGTCGTATCCAGCTGGACGAGGTCAAGGAATGGGCGGCCGCTGTTCTCAAGGAGCGGGAGGCTTTCTGGAAAGGAATGGCCGCGAACACGAATGGTACAGCATAGACGACTTGTCGCAGGAAGGTTGAGTGTATTCGTACTTGCGTCATTCTTTACATTTTGTTTTTTTGGGCCATCATCCCACCGAACCCGGTGGAGGCGTTTGGGTTGGTATTCTAGAATTAGATCGGATAGTGTGTGATAGCATGAGTCTAGGTATGAGCCATATGGGTATCATGACATTCAACGAGGCACGGTTTATAGCTCCTAATGATTTTAGTATGTATTTCATATACGCTATAGAACCAGCTATAAGCCACCGCCATGATCACTTCACAACCTCCCTCTCCATCCTCTCCATCTCCCTCGCCAACATCTCCGCCTCAGCCTCCATCTCCTCCATACTCCTCGGCGGCCGCCCCTCATTATCAACAGTAGGGAACTTCGGTCTTGGCATCCTCTCCCCCTCCTTTCCCTCCCCAAACGCCCGCCTCAGATCCCCCTCCTCTCCATCCAACAGACCATAAACCGCATCCATCCCACCTCGATGATCCAGATCCGCCCGTTTCCGCGGGATGATGTGCGCATGCACATGCGCCACGCTCTGCCCCGCCTCCGGCCCGTCCTGCACCGCAATATTTAGACTCGACGCGCCGTACACGCGCTCAACCAACCGTCCGACCCGCTGCACGGTGAGGAAGAGATCGCTCGTTTCGGCGGCCGTCAGGTCCGCGACGCGGGGAACGCGCCGGCGCGGGGAAACCAGGACGTGGCCTGGGAGGATGGGTTTCAGGTTTACGAGGGCGAAGGAGAGTGGTGTGAGGTGGAAGACCTTGCGAGCTGTTAGATTGTGCATTTGTTGGTGTTGTGGTGGGGGAATGCATTACCTGGGAGGTGACGAGGAATGGGCCAAAGTAGATCTGGGCGCCTTTTAGGGCGGCGGACATGGCGGGGACGGGTTCCCGGACGGACATGAAAATGTATTTTTTATCGGTTTGGAAATGGGCTAAGCAGGGCTTAAGGGTATGTTTGGGGAGGAGTAAGGGGGATCCCATTCGAGAGTGGATGTTTTGGTGCAGTTGGTTATGATGCGGAGTCGAGTCGGAGAAGCTGTGCGGGACCTGCTTGATAGCGGGACCGGCTGGCTGAGCGTTATCAAGGCCTTCCCCCCGAGGGGGTACACAAATACTACGACAAAGAGCAAGGCCACTGCTGGCAGCACTCTGCAAATAATGGGTATCATTAATTTCTAGACAGCCTCAATTGTATATTACATGTCGACTGAGCCTCAACCTGGCTCAATTGGGTGTGGGAGTAATCGGATCATAAGAGATAATAAACATCGAACAAAGATGATCTCAGGCCTCCGTGGCTGACTCGGGCTCCTGCTCAGTTGTCGTCTGAGATTCAGACTCTTGCTGGGTCTGCTGGGTCTGCTCGGTAGATGCTTCCTCTACAGGCGATGGCTTTTCCTCCACGTTTGCTTCTGTGCTATCTTTTGTACTGGCTTCTGTGTCTGCTTGCGACTCCTCGGCCTTGGGTGCTTCCGGCTCCTCAGGTGGCTGGACGGCTTCCGGCTCATCCTTTGCTGCTGCTTTTGCATTCGTATCTGAGGTCTTCCCCTCTTCCTCCTCTTGCACCTCTTCAACGGTAACCTGCGACTCGGCCGGGTCTTGCGCGGGTGCATCGGCAGCTTCCTTTTGCTCCTCACTTGCAACCTCTTCTGCGGGCTGTGGTTCAGACTCAACTTCGGGTACAGCCTCAGTAGACAGTAGATTTTCATCCTTTGACTCCTTCACAGGCTCCGCTTTCTGCTGCTCTTCTGATTCCTCCGCACCCTCACTGATCGTCGTAACGCGAGAACTGATGGACGCGCTATTCTTGTGGCGCCGGGTGGTTGCACCAGTGCTGATGGATGAAGGCTCGATGTTCTCCAGCGGGTCCTCACTGTCCTTTCGTAGGATCGTCATCCGACGGTTGTCCGCCTGTTCCGGCACTGACTGATTGGCATCGAGTCCCTCCGCTTCAGCAGGCACCGTATAATTGTCTTCAGGAATCAGCTTGTACATATCGCACACCGTCTTGAAAAATATGTACAGCCCATCATTACCCTCAACCTGCCAGAACACATCCCGGTGCTGGAACCAGGCATGGGCGAAGATGCGATACAGTCGACGGAATATGTTGGTCAGGTACCTCAGACTCGCCTGCGCGCCACCGCCTGCCTCGGAACCCAACGTAAGACGACTTGGGAAATGCTTGGGAGATGTGAGGATGTTCGTGGCCCAATCGAGCGTATGGCAACAGTAGTCGATCGCGCAGCAGGATTTCGGGGGGTCATGGACGGCGCAAAGATACTGCCACTCGGATGCACGCATCTCAGGACACGTTTGCGCGGAGCAGGGTGGGTCTTCAGCGAAGAAAGCAACGATCAGGTTATTTACTTTCATGGTGAGGAAACGACAGAGTTCGTAGAGCCAGAGCGACCTGTCCACCCCCTCGGGCGGTTCCGCAAGTTGTATCGCGACATCTCGACTGATAGGCACGACGGTCTCAGATCCCTCCGGTCGGGTGAAGTGGTTGTAGAGCGCTTTCAGGTGTTCTTGGAGCTGGAATGGAGAGTCGAGCTGTTGGGCAACAGAGGGCCTGGTTAGCGAAGGTAAACACCTTTGACTTGTTTGTTTACATGAGCTCACCTGCGACAAAGGAATCAATGGAGGACCGACAGCCATATCAGCGGCCTTAGTTCCTGGTCGAATCCTTCGAGAAGATGCATTATCATTGCCCTTTGAAGCTGCCAAAAATTCTTGAGTCTCTTTCCCAAACGAATCACCAACCGACGGTGACTTAGGCCCAATCTGTACCTCCGTGAACGGGGGAGGACTAGGTAACCGCGGCGAGCTGGACGGCGACGCCCCAGCTGCAGCCATGATGAAGAAGAACAAGAAATAAAAATGGAGATCTCTCAAGGCACGGCCTGTCACTGTAATGACGGCGGCCACCGGACACTGATGCTGGTGATGATTTGACGGAGAGCTACTGCTGCGGAGCTCGATGGTCGAGACCACCGCCAGGATCCTTAGGCTCCAAGGCTCTAAGGCTACCGTAGCCCGAAGCCCATGACCGGGGAAGCCCTGAGCCCTAATTGCTGCCTCCGCTCCAGGAACAGACGTCATCCTTCCCCGCAGGATTAAGGTACGTTGATCTTTCATAGTTCATAGACCGTTGGAGCGAGGCTTTCATCTCAAACTCAAACCATGCCGGCAGATATTATTGATGATGATGATGCTCCCCCAGAGCTGGTGGATGTGTCCGCGCTACCGGACTCAGAGAAGCCCAATATTTCCAAGACACCATCTACAACATTAGACACGCCGGCACAGGATCGTGTGCCTATCACTCTAGTAACGGGTATAACTCTTGTCGGAAATGAACTCCTTGTGCTTAATACTCACAACGACAAGGCTATCTCGGTGCGGGCAAGACTACCTTGCTTAATTACATCTTGAGTGAGAAACATGGCAAAAAGATAGCCGTGATCATGAATGGTTCGTTGTCCAGGTCCCTGTGAAGAAACATGACTGATGTATATCTAGAGTTCGGGGACTGTAAGTCGGCACGGCACGACACAATTCACTCGTTAAACTAACTCGACTCCAGCAACGGACATCGAAAAGCCATTAACGGTCAACCAGAACGGCCAGGAAGTCACGGAGTGGATGGAAGTCGGAAACGGCTGCATCTGCTGCTCCGTCAAGTAAGCACTGCTCCTTAAGCTCCCAAGACAACGTGACTGAGCAGCTGGCCGCCAGAGACTCCGGCGTCATGGCCATCGAGTCACTCATGGAGCGCCGGGGAACATTCGACTACATTCTCCTAGAGACAACGGGGCTCGCCGACCCTGGCAATCTCGCGCCCGTTTTCTGGGTAGACGATAACCTCGGCAGCTCCATCTATCTCGACGGAATCGTCACGCTAGTCGATGCGAAGAACATCCTCCGTCTTCTGGACGAGCCCGCGCCGGAAGAAACCGCATCGAGCCATACCGACGGAACGGAGAACGAGGGCCACGGGCACTCGGGGCCTGTGCTCTCCATGGCGCACATGCAGATCTCCCACGCAGACGTGGTCATCCTGAATAAGGCGGACCTCGTCACCCAGGAGGAACTCGACCACGTCCGCTCCCGCATCCTGGCGATCAACAGCGTCGCCAAAATCCACGTCACAGATCACAGTAGGACACCACAGATTGAGGGCGTCGTGCTGGATCTTCATGCATACGATCACCTGGATAGCCTGGACTTTGGGGCCAAGGGACACAGTCACATCGACCCGGTAATACTACACTTGCTGTCATCATTAACCATCTGCTAATATCCTACAGGCGATATCAACAATCGCCATAATCATACCCCCTATACCCGCCGACAAGGTCTCACGGGTGGACGCCTGGCTCCAGTCCATTCTATGGGAATCAAAAATCCCGGTAATTTCCAATACAGATACTTCTAACCTCAATAATTTCGAGATCCATCGTCTAAAGGGCATTCTAGTCCTGCAAGACGGGTCCTGTAAGATCATCCAGGCTGTCCGGGAAGTCTTCGAGATCCGAGACTCGGAGCCAAAGACAGGCGGTGGCGGCGATTGCAAGCTCGTTCTGATCGGCCGTGGTCTGGGACAGGATGCGCAGCCGTGGCGGAGGAACTTTGAGGCGTTCCTGGAGGCTGAGTAGCGCAGCGCTTCGAGGCGTGATAGCCGAGCGAGAGCACGCCCCATGATACAAGTCCCCAGCGAGACGTTCTATTACCAGCCAGGAGCAAACATGCGGCAAGGCCGAAGCTGCAAATGAACAGCTTCACTAAGTGGGGTAGTCTCACAGTCACCCCAGGTATATAGGACAGCCTCAATGCCCTCTTAACGTACCTGCAGCCTGCATGATCCATATCTTTGCAAAAAAGGCATCAATTATAATTTTGATAAGATAAATACAGCTTCATGAAAGAGAAAATGACGCGGACATCGGACAAGTATACAATGGAACCACTTGCAGAGCAGAAAGTATCAGATGACATCCGCCAATCGTATATCATGCAAAGATCGTAAATGAGGACCTGGCACGGCAGAGAAAATAGGCGCATCTCTGAAGCGTAGGTCGTACTCAGACAACGGTGGTCATGTTTTGAGAAGAAAAATGTTGTTTCAACTTCCAATGCCCTGCTATCTCAAAAATGTATGAGCAACAGTTGCGGTTGAGTTCTACTCAATAATGGCGCAGGAGCCATACCAACAAGAGACTGAGCAGTAGAAACCAAAACTCCAGGTTCGCCTTTATTGACTTTCTGCGAATCTCGATCCGTTCGGACGAGTGAGAAAATAGGGGAAGGGACGCAACGAGGTAACTGTACAGCGCGAGAAAAACAGTGTATCAAGGGTATCGAGCACTTTGAGGCCTTGGGTCTGAGGCCTGGCTAAATTATTGGAAAGAAATGCTGAGTCGCGAGAAAGGCTTTTTTAGTTTCGAATATGCACCCACTGTCATACTGGTGCCGAGGAATTGTCGGGGGTAGCTGGGTTGATGGGTAAATGAGATTCGCTCAAATAGGGTGTTTGCTCCGCCAGGCGATGCCTTGCGTTGTTGAAAGCGGAGCGAATGGCCAACTGTGAGAGTCTGTCTGTATTCAGATCGGTAGGTTCTTGTTTTCGTTCACCCGATGCGGGGTTGATTGGTAAAATTGATTGTAGAAGGGATGATACGGAATGTGTTGGTGCTTCGCTGGACCAGATTTGCTTCTGGATATAGGGATACTCAAGGTCCACCGTCGAGGATGAATGCGGATGAGTGGACTGAGTTGTTGCTGATGAAGCAGAAGACGTATGATATTTCACGGATTTTGAAGATGGTTCTCTAGTGCTGCCTGAAGAGCAGGCTGGATTTCGACTGACACCCGCCAGCTTTGCCGGGATATGGTCAATCTGGAAATGTAATGAGTTCGCTGATTGATCGCCAGGATGTGCTTGATGGATAGAGTCTCCACCGTTCGTGTGTCGTCCCCTCTCATTTGCTCCATCACGGTCGGGGGTGCGGTTGCTATGTTTGTTTTCTGGTACGCCTCTCTCTGAAGAGGAGTGAGGGCGTTGGCCATTTGTCTCGGCATTTCGAGAATGAAAAGTCACCTGACAAGTCCGGTTATCAGCAGCATACTCGTGCATGGAGTTTGAGTGTTCATTCGTGGTCAGCACTTTTCCGTCGTCAAGTGACAAACTGTAACAGTCTTCGCCAGGGCACGCTGGGAAGGACTCTACGCTATTGACATATAGGCGCGACCCTGTCTCGTCCAGAGAAACCGGTCTTTCATGGAAATGACCAGGCTGATAAAATGGCCGATTGTTTGGACCGCCAAAAGTTGGCGCTGTGGTAATGGCACGAGCATTGTATAAAGGTAGCGGGCTGTTGTACAGTCCAACCCCGAGGCCTCCGTGCGGAAGATGCGCCGGGTGAAATTGCGGCGTTGTTGTTGAAAGCTCTTGTGGGAAGAAGACCAGGAGCTCCTTTGCCGAGAGTCTCTGTCGAGGAGAAGGACTCAAGCAGATCGATACTATCCTGCGATACCAATCAGGCACGTCCACCTCCTCGCCCAGTAAGAGGGGGCGAGGCTGCCGTTCAGGTTCGTCTTCCTCGGTGGCCAGCGCCCACAAAGTCATTCCTAGCTGATAAAGATCGGTTTTGACCCCGATGTACATGGATATTCGCTGGTTGCTCTCGATTTTGGCTGCAATTTCAGGGGGTTCCCATCCCACAGGACAGCCCCGTCTGTTGATATCAATGATTTTGGCGTTGTCATCGGCGTCCACCACGATGTTCGACAATGTGAAGTCTCCTTGCACATATCCCGACTCGTGAATCTCACCCAGGCCCTGGACGATTTGTCTGGCCCACCGCGCTCGTCGCTCCCAAGAGATTGTGCCCCGCTGCTCATACAGAATGTCAACCAATGCTCCCTGCTCGGCGTAACTGATAAGTAACCCCTTCACGACATCTCGCCGGTCGTTGACAACAATCCCTTCCACTTGAATGACATTTGGAGAACCGTTGAGGGCATGTAGAGCGTTGATCTCGTAGAGAAACTCGTCGACCGTGTCGGGACCGGGAATTTCCTTTTTGATGTAGTTCTTACCGTCCAGTCGGACATTGTAGACGAAGCCCGACAGATGCGCCTCAAAATGCAGCTGGTATTCAGGGACAAGGCGAGCCTCCGGCAGATGGCCGATGCAAGAAGTCGGAGGGTAGGGGATGATTTCGTTCACGTCTTCGGTGACGTGCACATGGAGCCGGCCATCACGCGTCTCCAATTTCAGATTCGTGACTGTGTCGTAAAACTGAATCTCTGGAAGCGACTCTCGGATGGACTCGTAGATTCGAGCGCACTTGTCTCGCTGGTAGCGTAATTCCTTCAGATCCTGCTCGAGTGAATCGGGAGGAGCGCCCCGATAATCGCATGAAATGGTGACTCTGCGCCATCGGTTGGGGGCCTCCGCGTAGGTGACGAAAAATTTCTCGCGCTCCGAACGGTCACGAAAATGCATACTCAGATTCAGTATCCATCGCTTTTCCAATTCCATCTCGATCAGATCTTCCGGCGGCTGTTCGGGCACATCCGCGACCTCGGGACACGGATTCCAATCGGACATAACCTCACTGTCATCATTCGTTGTCGCAGGTGGTTCAACTTCCTCCACCGTGGGTTCTTCCGCGTGGTCGTGCCATGGAACCTCGGGCGCGGACAATCTGGGGTCCACGGTGGGCTGTGGGGACCTGGTCCGCTGGGCGCTCAACGGGCAACGACGGTCGGCGGAAACGGCACGACGGGGCTCTTGTTCGACGGGGGCTAGACGATCTCGTCGTTCCGAGTCCTGCCTCTTGAATGTTGTTGAACGGGGCAGACCGACACCTACCCTGCGAGAAAGTCTGCGGGTCAGGTTATCGGGGGGTTTGGAAGAGTGGTGGGCATTGCCGTTGTTGTTTGCAGTGGAAGCAGGGTTTGCGGGAGGTGAGGAGTCACCAGAAGGTGACCGGCAGGATAATTCGCGATCATCACGGCCTAGTAGTCTTCGAAGACCGAGTCGATGCCACATGCTCTGTTTGGGGCGAGGGTTGACCTTTTCTGGGTCAAGTAGAAAACCCAGGTGCCTCGTGGGGCTATATGAACTGTCTGCGATGGAGATGGCCATACAGATCGATCCGGTCGCTCCACTGTCGTGCAAGGAACGACTTGAACACCCCGCCAACTGGATTTCCGACGTCCATAAGAATTGAGGCCGGCACTGGGAAAAAGGACGATGCTACTCAATTCAGTCGTACTGCAGCCGATTTTTCACTTGTCTAGTGGAACAACCTGAAGATAGGAGGGGAGAGAGAAGAGAGAAAAGCAAAAAAGAGGATTGCGAGAAAAGAAACAAAAAAAATTAAACAGAAGAAAAATTTTTTCCTGCTTTCTTTTCTATCTTGTTCCCTTGAGAAGTCGGTGAGGTTTGAATTTTTGGTCGTATGAAAATTTGCTTCGTCCGTGCCAGCTTGGGCTGTGGCTGGGTTGCTGGTTTTTTTTTTCCTCTTGACTGCCTAATGAGGATCGAACAATGAGGGCGAGGTAGAATGAGTCAAGCTGAAGGGCATCAGGAGTCAGGGGAATTCTTGTGGCGGGGATAGAAGAATCACGAAACTGAGTAGGTAGTCTTTGGACGGACAGATAGATAGATAGATACGTAGACTCGATACTTGAAGATGCAAGAGAGGAAAAGATATGATAGATGGATAATAATTGCCAATGGGCAACAGTTTGATGGTGGTGGTTTTGCCCTGCTTGCTGCAAGGCGTCTACTCGTTTAAGTCCAAGTCTTCTTTCTGACATCTAAACTGAACTAAGGATAATGGTTGGAGCAGCAATATGATGCAAAAGTCCTATCAAAAGCCAACTAATGATCCGTCACCCCTCCTTCTTCCTGGTTTAGTCCTTTCATTGGGAGCGTCAATTGTATGGAGTATAAACCAGGATAGCTAGCTGGCGATGTCCGGCACGGCGAAGAACCAATACAGAAAAACCAAAACAACAAAAGAAACCCGAGAAAAGATTGTTGATCACCAGAAAATTATGTTAATTAAACATTCTGTAAGATAGATACTAGACTAAGGCTCAATATCCAAACGCACAATGGAATATTGGAGCTGTATGGCGGCCTGATATGTGCCTGATATATCCGTATAGTATAGAAGAGTCTACGAAGGCACCATCTTTTCTCAATCACACGAACAGATAACCAAGGTATCTCGGTAAATACCCAGTTGCAACAGCCTTGTAAACCCTGGTATCACATTCGCTTTGGTAGCAAAACAATAAACTATCCCAGTGGACCTGCGTCCCTTTTCTTCTTGATGCATTAGGTAGATATTAATGCACAGCCCAAATCTTTCTCGAAGCCTTAGTTCATCCGTTTCGGTTGGCTGTTCGGAGGATGTACGGAGTAGATACCTTAGCCTTCTCCAAGGATTGAGCGTATGATATCGGTAATCTCATGCGCTGGCTCACTAACGCGGATACTCCATCTATCCGTTGTACTTCTCCATCCATAACATACAGACTAGATAGATAATGACGATAAAGATGATGATGGCGATGAGGTTGGCCCAGCCAGCGTATCGCTCTACCCGCATGGTGAGACAGTTAAAAGACACCTCAACTAACCTACCGGTGCAGGTCGGTAAGGTAGCAGTCTACCATTGCGGATCAACCAAGTGCCTTGAACACCATGGAATCCGGAAAATAGACAAAAGCAAAATGGAAAGAGAAGATGCAGAGCGAGGCTGAGGTTATAATTACCGGTGCCCTCTACTAAGGTAGATAAAGTATACCTAGAGTTTCAAAGTGATGCTTCCATAGAACGACCAGAACCCAGTTGATGCATCCAATCATCGCAGAAAGATATCCAACACCAATCACTTACCTCTCCTGCTCCCGAGACTGACATCAGATGCGACTCTCAAGTCGTACTGCTTCATCAGCGATACACAAGACCTAAAATGCAGTGTACTACTATACTACATTGGGGGTCATCTCAAGCCCAGAGGACCTAAAGAACCCCTCCGTTCATGTGCAGCCGACTTGAACCGATCTTAGTGTCTGCGCGAGTTGAGCAGGTCAAAGAGGTTTCGTCTGATGGTCGAAAATGGAATCGGCTCAGGTTCATTCTGACCAGCTTCCCTGTCCGGTTACGCAATAGTACGAGGATATTTCTTTCTGGCTTGTGAATATGATAGGTTTGTATGGTATTTTCACTGGTAGTCTTGCCTCTTCCCAGGCCAAGCTGGCAAGATCAAGAACACACCACGTCTTCATATATACATACAACGAAGACAGCACCTCTCCAGCGAGTAGTTGAAGATGCACTGTACCGCCCACGTTTCCCATGCAACACGGATGGGACAAACCAGTCGCAAAGACCTTTTCTTGAAGAGCGGAGATAGTTTTCATGATCCCTCTGGCCGCAGTCGGCGCCCATATTTCTCTGGTCCTAGTCCAGAAGAGACGACGGCAACGTGCTGTATCCAAACGAGGTTTCCTTTGTAGACACCGTCAAGGCAAAATCGTCAGTCCCAACCCAAATCTACGAAACTAAACTCCGGACCCATGCTTCCCATAATGAACGCCTCAGGCATCAAAGCCATCGCAATGAACCAACGTGAGATACATAGCATAGCAGCGGCCGAATTACGTACTACGGCAACGTTAAAGCCTGCTCAATGATCTCTTTCAATCATCGTCTTCGCGAGGTTCCTTCTTCGGCGTCCCTGCAAGCTGCTTCTGCCAAAGCTTATTGGCCGCGTCCCTGTCGAGCTCGGCAAAGAGAATGTTGAATACTTCCGAGTACCAGCTCACTGCATGGCCTTCAATACCGTCTTTGATGTTCTGTATATACTGTCAGCTCGAAGAGTGTACCGAGGAAGCTGTATTTTGGAATCTACTCACCTCCGGCAGCTCTAACCAGTCGGACATATTGTCTGCAGGGAAGATAATCTTCTTCGCACCAGCACGACGAGCAGCCACCGTCTTCTCCCGCAAGCCGCCGATACGAAGGACTTTGCCCGTCACGGTCAGTTCTCCTGTCATTGCTATTGTCGGGTCGAGAGGGTGGTCCAGGGCCAGCGAAAGAAGAGAAGTGGCCATGGTGATGCCGGCAGAAGGGCCTGAATCCACTTGTTAGACCTCCGTGCAAAAAGGTAATATATGCTAAGAATTTTTCGACTTACCATCCTTGGGAACAGCGCCTTCGGGGCAATGCATATGAAGTTTCGCCTTCTCGAAGAATTTGTTCTCCGGGAACTGCTTAGCCAAGACCGACTTTGCAAAAGAGTATGCAATCTGTGTGGATTCCTTCATCACAGGCTGCAGATTTCCCGTGATTTCGATACCAGGTCGTGACTCGGGAGTCAGAGCATTTTCCAGAATCGACTCGACGTACAGTGCGGCTCCGCCCATGCTGGTCCAGGCCAGACCCATTGTGACACCAGGGGGGAAGGTGTCGTAGAGTCGGTCCGCTGTGAAGACAGGAGGACCGAGGTAATCTGTAAGGCTGTCTTTGCCGATACTGAGGTGCACGCTCTCAGGAACCTTGAGCGCGAGACGTGGAGTCTCCGTTGTCGATTTTTCGGGATCGACAGGGGGATCCTTGGGATCTCCTTCTTCGGTCTCCTTCTTCGATTCTTCCTGTGCGGCTTTACCCTCGTCAGTAAGAGCCTTGTCTTCTCCAAGAACCTCCTCGCCAAGATCCTGGACGATCTTGAAAGCCGCTTTGCGATAGACTTTTTCAATCTGCTTCTTCAAATTTCGAACACCACTCTCGCGGGCATACGATTTGATTAATTCCTCGATAGCGTCCTTCTGGAGGTTAACGTCGACATCCTTCAGGCCCGTGAGTTCCCTCGCAGCAGGTGCAAGGTAGCGCTCGGCAATAGCCATCTTCTCATCCGCAACGTAACCGGACAGCTCAATGAGTTCCATGCGGTCCAACAGAGGCCGAGGAATGGTGTCTGTTACATTGGCCGTGCAAACGAAGAGAACCTTTGACAAATCGACGGGAACATCCATGTAGTGATCGAGGAAGGATGAGTTCTGTTCTGGGTCTAGAAGTTCGAGCAGGGCCGATGATGGATCGCCCTGATGACCTCGTCCGATTTTATCCACCTCATCAATCAGAATCAGAGGGTTCTCGGTCTGGCACTTCTTGAGGGCTTGAATGATACGGCCGGGAAGTGCACCCACGTAGGTCCGACGATGTCCCTTGATCTCAGCAACATCCGTGAGACCTCCAACGGAGAACCGGTAATACTGCCGGTTCAGGGCTCGGGCGATCGACTTTCCGATACTGGTCTTTCCGACACCTGGGGGTCCTACAAGGCAGAGAATCTTGCCTTCCACGGTTCCCCGAAGCTTTCCAACAGCAATGAATTCAAGGATACGATCCTTAACATCCTTCAAGCCGTAGTGATCTTCGTCCAAGACAGTCATGGCATGCTTGATACCGAAGTTCTCCACGCTCTTCTGACCCCATGGAATTTGAGTCAGCCAGTCAAGGTAATTCCGAGTGACGTTGAATTCCGATGCGGCTGGCTCAAGGTGGGCCAGCTTGTTGATCTCCTCGTCAAACACCTTTTTGACAGCCTCTGGCATGGCCAGTTTCGATGCCTTTTCTTTGAACTTCTCCACTAGTTTGTCTTTGCCGTCCGATTCGATACCCAACTCTCTCTTGATACCCTTCATCTGCTCCATCAGCCAATACTCGCGTTGACGTTTCTGAATCTTCGCCTCCACATCCTTGGATATTTTAGACTGGAGTTGTGCGTTCATCAGTTCCTTCTTCAACACCACTAACGCCTTTGGAAGCCGCTCTTCGATGTTCATGATCTCTAGAACTTCTTGCATCTCATGCAGTTCTCCAGCAGACACTGCGGCGGCAAAGTCGGCCAATTTAGCTGGCTCATCACTGAGATTACCCGGAAACTGGTCGGTATAGAATGCGGAAATCTGGTCACGGAAGAGGGGGTTCAGACTGGCGATCTCCTTGCAGACGTTGACAATCTCACTTGTCACCGCACGGATGATAGCGCTCTTCTTGTCAAAAGGCTCCTCCGCCAAATTCTCCACATTCACCAAGCTGACAGGGTATTTGCGCAAGAAAGAAGTAGGCTCGTAGAGATCCTTTGGCGCGGGTTCCGCAACGCCCTCTTCAAAGCTCGCCACAACATCCCCCCGCTTTTCGGGAGCCTTGTCCTCAGCGTTGCCAGCCTTAGTCTGTTCACCAGGAGGAAGAAGAGACGAAATCTTAATGCGACGATGAGGATAAAGGACGGCTGTCACGCCGCTGGCTTCTCCACGAAGAGGGTACGCAGCAGTAATTTGAGCGAACACTCCGACATCGTACACGTCGTCAAGATTTTCAATAACATCGCCGTCGGCATTCTCATCCTTGAATAAGAAGGCACCCACGTACGGTTGCCCTCGTTTCATCATCTCCTGGATTGCTGTTGCTACATTCGGGTCTCGGATGGTGATCGCTTTGTAGAAGCCCGGGAACAGAGGCCGCTTGGCAATAGGGATGGCCATGACCTGAGGATAGACCTCCGGAACGGAAGGCTTCTGTAAAGCCCTATCCCCTGAGCCTTTCTTACTCTTCCGTCCACCATCTTCGTTCCCGCCGTTGCTCGCAGAGGATTTCGAGTCCGAAGATCCCCCTCCACTGACAGGGATGGGAGACGGATTCTCCGTAGCATCCGACTTCCCTTCTATGGCACCGTTCTCTTTCTTTGCATCTTCCTCAACTCCACGTTGCTCCTTCTCCCCCACTACTTTATCTCTCCGCCGTCCAGAGCCCGGTGTCGGAGCTCCCGGTTCCCTCCCTGTGGAGTCGGGTGACCTTCTTCGACTTTCAGGGGATCGGTCGCCGTCCTTCTGCTCGTTCGGATCCTTCTGCTCTTGCAGATTTGAGTCTTCCTTCTCCTCACCCGATGGAGGCTTCTCTTTTCGTCGGATAGAGCTCGTAGAAAAGGCGCGCGGAGACAGTGAGGGCGAGTGAGAGAGGCGGGATAAACTCAAGTTCGAACGTACAGAACCATTGTTTCGAGCGAAAGGAAGTAGAGGTCGAAGGACTAACGGCCGTGGTGTCTGGTGGAGCGCGGCTCTCCAGGGGAGTGACTGGCCGCGGAGCATGCTACTGTGTTGAGGGACGAAACGAGGTAGAGAAGGAGTATGCAGGAAACTCCGTTGTATATCTATAACGAAGAGGGTAAGAGAGAAAAAGAAGCTGTAGAGTACAAAATTAATGGACGAAGACCAGAGAAAGCATTATTCATCAGAAGCCGAGTGACACTTTCGGTAGCTGAGCAGGTGCTTTCATCATCAGCAGCACCCGGCGCATCATCGTTTCTCCGGTCGGATTCAGGGAACTTTTTCAACAGCCGACTCGAGAAGCTTCTAAGACCGTAAAGCTTCAGGTTCGGCAAAACTTCGATTGCGATGTTCCCCTGCTTAGTAGTCGGGTCTTCTTTACATTAGCGCCTTTGACATTTTGTCCCCTTGTCTTTTTGTCCGTCAACATCCTCAGTCATTCACTACTCCATCGATATCCAACATGAATTCCACTGCCGCAGCAATGCCTAAAGCTGCGGCTATCCCCGCTCGTCTGTTGCGGACTTCACGACAATGTTCAAATCAGACCCCAGCGAACAAAGCTCGATCAGCGACTCATATTCGAACCTATTATGCCTCAACAATCGCATCCTCCGGGAATCGTTCGCGTGATGGCGTCTATGCTAGGAGATTCCCTTCAATCGTCTCGGCAAGGGTAGGTAGTTGTCGGTTATTTGTCCTGAACTGTATCTATACCGTGACTGTATCTAATGGTTGCTGACGCAAATTCTTCTTCGCAGGGCTTTCACACGACTGCAGCTCTTACTGCTGTTCCCGATCCTTACAAGGTTTTAGGAGTGGACAGGAATGCTTCAGCAGGAGACATCAAGAAGGCTTACTATGGATTGGCGAAAAAGTATCATCCGGATACCAACAAAGATCCAAACGCCAAGGAAAAATTTGCGGAGGCTCAGTCGGCCTACGAACTACTATCCGATGCCAAAAAGAGAGAGACTTACGACCGGTTTGGTTCCGCCGCATTCGATCAAAATGGCGGCTTCGATCCCAACGCCGCTGCTGGTGGTAACCCGTTCGCCGGTGCTGGTGGCTTTCACGGGTTTGGTGGGGGCTTCCCCGGCGGTTTTGCTGCTGATATCAATTTCGAGGATCTATTCGGTGCTTTCACGGGCGGCGCACGTCGGAGCGGCCGGGGCAGACGCGGTCCTTTCCAGGAGATTTTGGTAGGCGAGGACATCGAGGTCCAGACCAATATCTCTTTCATGGAGGCTGCGAAAGGTACATCAAAAGATGTTGTCATCACGCCCTTAACTGCATGCGGTACTTGTAAAGGCGATGGCCTGAAAGAGGGTGCCAAGCGGTCTCAATGTCGCCAGTGCAACGGCTCTGGCACTCGTGTGCACTTCATGCAGGGTGGTTTCCAGGTGGCAGCCACCTGTGATGCTTGTGGAGGAGCAGGCATGATCGTTCCTCGGGGTTCTGAATGTGGTACTTGCAGAGGCAACGGAGTCGTTCGGGACAAAAAAACTATTACGGTTGACATCCCTGGCGGTGTTGAGGACGGCATGCGGTTGAGGGTGGCAGGCGAAGGAGACGCCCCTCCTACAGGAACGCAAGCCACCCCTGGTACTCGCACTCAACGAGGCGATCTTTACGTTTCTATTCGGGTCGCGCCTGACCATCGCTTCAGTCGTTCCGGTTCCGACATCCTCTACACTGCTTCCATTCCGCTCACCACTGCTCTCCTTGGCGGCGAAGTGACCATACCCACTTTGGATGGCGAAGTGAAAGTGAAGGTAGCCACTGGAACTGGCACCGGCGATCGGATTACGCTCTCCGGGATGGGCATGAAGAAGCTGGGAGGGCGGGCCAGAGGGTACACGCCCACAGGTGACCTGAAGGTTGAGTTCAAGGTTGCCATGCCAAAGTACTTGACGGCCAACCAGCGCACGATTCTGGAAGTCCTGGCCGATGAGATGAATGACAAGACTGCCCGACGGACGATGAACATCGGGAAAGACAGGTAAGGATGATTGGTTGCAGAGTGTTCCTCCTCGTTAGAAAACACTAACCATGGTATGTGCACGACAATAGTCCCTCATCAGAAGCTGGCAACGCCTCCAACGAGTCCCAGAAAAACGAAGGTTTCCTCAAGTCCGCCTGGCACAAGCTCATGAATAGTGCAAAGAACGGCGACGGTGGAAACTCTGCCAGCAATCCAAGCAAGAAAGAGCCTGGCGACGCCAAAAAGAGCGACAAGGAAAGCAAATAATTCCCTGGCCCGAGCTCCTCGACCTGTACAGCTGAAATTTGCATATTGTGGATCTACTTCATTTTTTGAAATGTATTAAACTTCTTTTCTTTTTGGATATATATCATAGCGCCGGCGAGATGGTGTTTGTTTGTGGTTCCGTTTTCAACATCATGGTGGGATATTTTCGGCGTCTGTCTATACCTCCTTTTCGACCGTTCCGTGGACGGTTAGACGAGAAGTTATTGGGGGATTCTGGCTTGTATGTCAGCATGCATGAATGTACTATTAGGACTACCTGAGCTGCAACGTGAAGAAGATATCTCTACTTTCCACTTGTTTTGACGTCAGTATCCAGCCGCGAATCCACTGAGTGTTTCTGCTTTGGCGCCCATCCGAAGCTTCTGTTGCTCTGCTGACGGTCGGCACTACTATTTCAGTCAATTCCGCCTATTTAGGCAGTCATTGCCCCTCTTATCTTCATCCAGGAGAGCTTTTCCATCCCCTCTCTGTGAATTCTGCTTGCTGCGTAGACTGTGCTTTTTGCGCTTGTATTGTTTAGCTGTCAGTCTCCTCCCCTGTTTCCACCATGTTCGTCATATATCTTGGCTTTCTGGACTAACATACGTTAGGCCGTGCCCCCTTCCTGGTTACCCCACAGCAGCACAGCTCCATCACATCACAGTCCCCGATACGTCGACCTGTCCCCATCTTTCACCATTCAATATCTGCATTGCTCGCTGTCACCTCGGGATCCGATTTATTTCATACCTCTAACCTCTCTCTGCGCGTTGATGGGAGCCCCCCGCTCCGAGCGATCATCAATATGGTTCAGTCTCCGATGCTGTCATGTCCGTTGAAGCAGACCAACGAGATCGATTGGATCCGGCCTCTCAAGGATTATATTAGACAGAGTTACGGGGAAGATCCGGAACGATACAATCAAGAATGCGCGACACTCAACCGCCTGCGACAGGACATGAGGGGTGCTGGAAAGGACAGCGCGACGGGCCGCGACCTTCTATACCGGTATTATGGGCAGCTTGAGCTTTTGGACTTGAGATTTCCCGTCGATGAGAATCACATCAAGATCTCCTTTACATGGTACGGCTTCCCACTGGTTGTCTGGCATCTCCGGTTGAATGGTTCACCTTTTGCTGATCGACGCATAATCGTCCCATTACAGGTATGATGCTTTTACCCACAAACCGACCTCTCAGTACTCGTTGGCCTACGAAAAGGCGTCGATTATCTTTAATATCTCCGCCGTCCTCTCATGCCATGCAGCGAACCAGAACCGCGCAGAAGAGAGCGGGTTGAAAACCGCATACCATTCCTTCCAGGCATCAGCAGGGATGTTCACGTACATCAACGAGAACTTCCTACACGCCCCTTCGACCGACCTTAACCGGGAGACAGTCAAGACATTGATCAACATTACACTTGCTCAGGCGCAGGAGGTCTTCCTCGAGAAACAAGTGGCGGACCAAAAGAAAGCTGGGTTTCTCGCCAAGTTGGCCAGCCAAGCGGCTTATCTTTACTCGCAGGCCGCTGAAGGGATTCAGGAGTATGCCAAGGGCGTCTTTGACAAGTCGTGGAATATCGTTGTGCAAGCGAAAGCGGCTCACATGACGTCGGTAGCATCGTATTATCAAGCTTTGGCGGACAGTGAGAGCAACTCCCACGGGGTTGCTATCGCTAGGCTGCAGCTGGCTGACAAAAACTCGACTGCAGCAATGGGATGGGCCAAGTCGTTCCCGACGTCGGTCGCGCCCGACTCGAACCTTACTTCCGAGTCGGGGGCCAATCTCATTGACACCATCAAATACCACCAGGCGAATGTGCAGGCCAAATTGGTCACCTTTGTGAAGGACAACGACTTCATCTACCATCAGCCCGTTCCCAACGAAGCTGGCTTGTCCGCTGTTGCCAAGCTGCCGGCAGCGAAGGCCATCCCCGTGAGTGAACTTTACCAGGGACAAGACATTCAACGTATCATCGGACCAGATATATTCCAGAAGCTCGTTCCCATGTCAGTGACGGAGACAGCCAGTCTCTATGACGAAGAAAAGGCCAAGTTGATACGTGCGGAAACAGAAAAGGTCGAGACAGCGGACAGCGAGATGGCTGCCAGTCTGGACTACTTGAAGCTCCCGGGAAGTCTCAATATCCTCAAAGGGGGCATGGACCAAGAAATGACGGTCGACGACGAGTTCCGACAATGGTGCCAGGAACTAGCGGGCCATCAATCGTTCGCTAAGGCGTTTGACACCCTTCAGGACCGAAAAGGCGAGATACTCTCACAATTGGAGCAATGCTCAAAACAACTCGACCTAGAGGAAAGCGTATGCGAAAAAATGCGATCGAAGTACGGAGCAGACTGGAGTCAGCAGCCCAGTGCCAGGCTCAATACTACACTGCGCAGCGACATTCGGACGTATCGGGACACCATCAACGAGGCCAGTGCCAGCGACTCGCAGCTTCTAGCCACCCTCAGACAGTACGAGACGGATTTCGACGAAATGCGCTCTGCTGGCGAAACAAACGAGGCCGATGTCTTGTTCCAGCGCGCAATGATCAAGGCCGGATCGAAGCACGGAAAGGGCAAAAATGGAGTCGGCAGTCCATATGCATCTACGCAGGAGGGGAGCCTGCTAGATGACGTTTACGATGAGGGAAGCCTTTCGGTGGCAGAACAAATCGCCAGGGTGGAATCCATTCTGAAGAAGCTGAACCTAGTGAAGCGGGAACGGTCTCAGGTGTTGAAAGACTTGAAAGAAAAGGTACGCGTTCTCCGACCCTTCTCGACAGCGCTCGCTCAGATCTAATGGTACAAATGCAGGTTCATAATGACGATATTTCCAATGTCCTGATCTTGAACAAAAAGTCGATTGCTGGACAAGAAAGTCAGCTTTTTGAGACCGAGTTGGAGAAGTTTCGTCCACACCAGAACCGATTGCTCCAAGCCAATCACAAACAGGCCGCATTAATGAAGGAACTCACCAAGGTTTACGGGGACTTGCTTCAGGATAAGCGCGTACGGTCTGAACAATCGAAATATGAAACCATCACCCGCCAACGGAACACCGTGATGGCCCGGTACAAGAAGATATACGATGCCTTCAATGGTCTGCTCTCCGGAATCGTGCAAGCGCAGACCTTCTACAAGGAAATGGGTGAAACAGTGGAGAGTCTGAAGAAGAATGTTGAAACCTTTATCAACAACCGACGCTCCGAAGGAGCTCAACTCCTCGGGCAGATCGAGCGGGAGAAGGCGAGCACTGCAACTGACCAAGAGGACCGGGAACGAGAGAAGCTGCGGCAGCTCATGGAGCGCCTGTCGACCGAGCCAAAACCTACATCTACTCCCTCACCATCGATGGCCCCTTCAAAGGCCAAATCCCCTCCACCACCCGTAAAGGCACCCGGGTACCCGGGTCCGGGCATTGCCTCTCCTCAGATGTCACCACACTTTGCGCCTGGTGTTGCTGGCCAACAGCATGGCATTCCTCTCTCCCATTCTCCCGCACCTTATGGTCAATATGCCGCTCCTCCAGGCGGCGTCTCTTACATGCAGGGGCAGCCGTTCCAACAAGGCGCTGCGGCACCGCTATCAGAGGGCTACAACCCGATGGCATATCCAGTGCCCGCTTCGATCTCCCCTCCCCCAAGTCAGCAATACTATTCGTCCACACCCGCTCCCTACAGCGGATACTCGAATCCAGCACCGCCAACCGCTCCGTCACAGTTCATGCCACAAGGTTACGTACCCCCTCCACCGCCGCCGCGGCCGCAGCAACCATCCTACCCACCTTCTACAGGCCCATACCCGTCCGGTCCCGGAGGATACGCACAAAGCAGGCCATACGGGACGAGCCAGCATCACAAGGCGCCGTCGCAGTCTCAGTCATCCTCCTCAACCGACCCATGGGCGGGCCTCAACGCGTGGAAGTGAAACTCTCGGGTACGGATCTCCACTATTAGCCATTATGAAGTATGATAGACATTTGGGAGGGGATGTTGAATGGTTCGCATTCCGGCGTTGGCTATATGATCTATGGTTTCATGCTTTTGCCGTATTTTCTGTCAAGTTCTTGTTCTTACCCCGCGCCGTCGCGAATTATATCGTTTTCTCTCAAGTCTCACCCTAGGTATTCTGTCATATTTTATATCATGATGCTATTGTTTAGCGGGATTATATAAACGATGTACGATGTTTCAAAGTCCTATTGCCATGGTCTTACCCTGACCAATCATTCATGCAAAACGCGGAAGACGCGTGATAATACCTATCAATGCAGCTATGCAAACATCACAAGTAGAACATCGATCAAGATCAACCGCATCCTGCAGGTAGAAAATAAATGTCCATGGCAGATGCAGCGCATTCATGTCACCGGAAAATCGGTGACGGTGTAAGTCGTAAGAGTAACAAGACTAGGCAACTATGGAAGCGAATTGGAGAAAACACATGAGATGAAACAGACAAACTCAGGGGGTATCATGATGAAAGGGGCAATGCTTGCGTCGGACGAGAGAGAGCGATGAGGTATGTGAAGCCCAAAAAAGGCAAAGGTAAAAGAATTTACCCGACCAGTGCAACCAGTTATACAAAGCTCCAGCCCAACGCCGATAAAGAAAGCAGAAATCGACTGAACCATCCGTCCCATAACGGTGTGGCAACGAGAGAGGAAAGAAGAATGACGAACGAGCTAAGGCTGGAACCTTAACCGGAACTGTCTTCCCCTGCCTTCTTCTCGGACCTTGTATAGAAAGCGAGCGATAGCTTCCTGCTCGGCCAGCGCGGCGCTGTTGAAATGCTTGCGGACGGCTGTCGCCAGCTGGGACTTGCTCACACGGCCCTGGCGAATGGTACGATTCAGTGCGGTTTTTCCTTCTGGTGGTCCGAGTCCGTGGTCCTTGCGATTGTGGGTACGGCCGGTGATGCCGTTGGTACCATTCGCTTCATTTTGCTGCTGGAGCTTAGCACGTTGGGCGGCGATGGAGGTGGGAGAACGGAGGCCGATGCCTTGAGAGAGGAGGATGCGGGAATAGTCGCTGGAGAAGGCGCTGGGGCAGGAGAGTTTGTAGGCGTGGCGGTAAGAGTGGAGGAAACCGAGGGACATTTCGGACCATTGGATCTAAGCCAGGTAGTCACAAGTTAGCAGGCTGGTTCAGACTCGGATGGACAAGACAATTCGCGATGATACCTTTGGTAGATCATCTGCCTGGTCGCCTGGATTGGCGGGGGCACTGGTGACGTTGGCAACGGCTGTAGAGACCTTGACCTCACGACTAGAGGCTGAACTCAGCGCCAATGAGGTTCCGGCCACCTTGCGGCCCTTTGTAGCGGTTGACTTTTGTTCTCTAGTGCCATTGGATGCTTCCGATCGAGAGTCATCCTGGACACCTGCGGTTCGCTGTCGCGGAGGGGCCATTTGGGGGGAAAGAGAAAGGAATGTGAGAGGAGAAAGGAGATTGTACGGCAACAAAGATGTTCGTCTGATTGAGCTATGGACAAGCAAAACGAGCTTGTCTTCAGGACAATCACAGAACGCAATCGAGAATCATGCTAGAACATCAACAAAAGCAGACCATCATCATTGCGTAGGATCGATTCTGAACGATAAAAAGAATGAACAGGAACCACTTCGGCTCTGACGCCGGGCGGCGACACGCGGCAGAATATCGAGGCGCGACATCTCTGGCTGTTTTAGGCTTAGTAGCTGAGGGTTAGTGACGGCATCAGCCCTAATTATGTGACTCATCGATAGTCATCATGAGCATATCGAGAGTACATATGAAGTGTCAGATTCAATTTGTCGCATTGCGAACAGTGATCAGTGGTGGAGTTGATCCTAAGAAGAAGCTGGAGCATAAGACATAAGACTGAGAGAGTTGTGGGCATGACGCCGGCTGAAGCTGATGATTAGGGTTTTGTTCAGGCGCACGTGAAGTGGCGCTATCTTGGGCTTGGAGTATCATTCTCCTTGTTCATCAAGAAGTTGAGAGGGACTAATGTCTACAAAGAGGTGTACCGAGTACGCTTGGATTTGCAATTTCAATCTGCAGCAAAAACACGGCAGTCGACTGCTCATCGTGACGTGGTGTACCGCATTCGATACAGAGGCTCAATCATTTTCGTGACTTGCGGTGCTGCCTGATGAATTGATAATGTCGAGACCTGTTGCTCACCGCTATATTTGCGTTTGCTTTGGATCCCCAAAGAGAAGGTCAAGACGAGGAGCAGAAGGTCAATTTTGGTGGCACGTGGTGCCCGAAGCAATTGAGTCATTTCTCGCGAATCGGGGAGCCCGATTCCAGACATTGACTTCTGAAAGTTCAACCCCTGAATCCGGAATAGTTACAAGATTACCTAAAATGGTAAGCTCAGCTGAGCCTACGGGGAGAACAGGATTAGACCCCCAATACACAGCCTAAGTAAATCTTGCTAGCGGAGAACTATCGGTTGACAATAAATTTCATCGACCACCGAGATTGCCTCAGACCACCACGGGATCGGGACAGACTCGGCAAGTTAAAGAAAATTTTTCGAAGACATTCGGGAAGAAGATGCCGGAGGAATACCGGTAGAGTACTAGAACATGAATCGTTTAGTTAGGTAGGGGGTTCTCTCCAGTCTAAAGAAGGAAAAGAGACGGGGGAAAATTCCTCTTCACCGAGGAACCTCTTTGGTCTCTGAGTCGCTGACTGTCTCCGGATCTTTTCCTTCTTTAGGTGCCACTAGTTTAAATATGGAGTAGTGGTCTCAGAAAATGGTATGGTATGGAAAAATAAAATACGGCATGTGGGCTGGAATTCTCTCCAGGTACTGCGGAGAGGGGACCCCTCCAAATTTGGTAGTCGCATTCGCAATTCGCCCCGGCCTGGGAAAAGACCGGCTTTTCCCCGAAATCATCCGATCCCAGCTGAGCTGGCTTTGGATCTGTGATCTCAATGTTGATTCTAGTATGAACTCTGTACCAAGCCTTGTAAATCGGAAAAGTACTCAATTCTACAAGAGGTACTCTGTTATAGTTCTTTCCAGTGCTGTACTGCAGAAAACACAGTGATATCAAATTGCACTCTAATTTTCGCTCGTACCACTGATCAAGGATTCTGGAGCGGGAGATTGCCGTCTAGAAGGCCGCCACTTAGGTAGGCCCATGTCTCGACTCCTGGACTAGCTGCAAATCATTGACATGACGCAATATCCGGTCATTGTCCGGTCCCTTTCCCTTTCTGTCTGTACCTACTTCGTGTACGGAGAAGAGAATCCCTTTTTATCACGGTATTTTTGATTCGAGGAGAACCAAAATCCTGCAATCCCAACGTATCTGCAGCTCTGTAGGCCTGTAGCTCTGCAGTATGTGAGCCCACACACTAAAGAATAATTAATTAATCTATCGTTCAGTCTATTGTTGTCTAGACTGTCAGGTACAGATTAAACTAGGGGACTCGGCGTGTCTACCCCATACTCCATCAACACGCTACTAAGTACTGCTAGTAATCAAGCTCAATTCAGGGATGTGGTGCGTCAGACATCTCATGTCCAATAATCTCTGGAAATCGAAAATCAATAGTCGTTGGAAATTCCGGCGGAGGTTGTAAACTGCCTTCAGGCGACGTGTCATCAGTTCCCGTCGGTCTTTACAGCGGGTTGTACCTCGCTGGGACCCTGGTAGATAGTTGCCAGCCGACCCTTTTGGTAAACTCCACGTCGTAGCGAGAACCAAATAAATGTCCATCACATGCAAATCATACCTTACTATCAAGTGTCAAATCATACTGTAACTGAGGTATGATGTTATGACGGACTACCTACGGAGTATCCTTAACTTTATGCTTAGTCTTTTGGTATTTACATAATGCGTTGCATGGGGTGGAGGAACTCCGGCAACTTTAACTGCAGGGGGAAGGTGTACCGGACGGGTTCGCCTCTTTCTCTCCCTTTTCGCCCGCCTCATCATCAGAGAACAATGAACTAATGAAGTGCGTTATCTCTGTCGGATAATCTGAGCTTTACTCCGCGTAACGTTCATCCAATGGACCCTTCTTCCACAGGACCAACCGACGAACTCCAGCTCGGATCCTCGATCTTAGCCGGAAATAAATTAAATCTATCTAGAGAATAAATGATAAGATCATGATCCTCCGGACTAAGAGGCACTGGCAGAAACGAAATTATCCGCCCCTGTGGCTCGCTGATAGGAAGAACACAAGCTATCTATTTCCACCAATTGCACCGTGTCCGCCTCACTGTCTATCGCCGAAAACTATCTAACCTCCTTAGTCATCATGTCCAGGCTTCGGAAGAACGGCCCCGCAACCTGGGGGCGGCTGCGAAGCCAGCGAGAGGAGCGTGTTACCGTCCCTGCAGGATGATTGGTTGAGCTTCTTGTTCCAGAAGCTGTGGGGACTTTTTCTCCCTTACTCTGTCAGTCTATTTTTTAATTCGCTGCCTTCTGAGCCTTGTGGGGCCCACCAAGTGCGTGGCCCAGATTGTCAAGAGCGTCGCTTTTGCGCCCTTCCGCAACGGATTGTAAAATTACAACCTTTGATTTGGCTGCAACTTTCAGTCGGAGGCAGAGAGCAATCATATTCTTAAATTCCACCGGGAGTTACGCCTTGCTGATAACACTGCCCAACTTGTAACTGATAAGCACCCTACCTAGACTTCTCAAGAGTTCAGTAATCCAGGCAGAAACCTATCGAATACTTTGGATGCATTCACCCAGTGTGTTATCAATAACTTTGATGTAATAAGCGACCATTCCCAATTCCGTGGCTCTTCCCCGGATTCCCGCCCCCCCGCACACAGTCGCCAAGCCATCAAAATGTCACTGTTGTTACGATTACGGAATGCACAACGTTGCACTTCGTTTCTCCTTTTCAGAAGTCGGAAAAAATTGCTGATTGAGTGTAACCAAGGGGTTCGTGCTTGTCCCTTTTCCA